AAATTCTTACCCTAGTAAACCAGTAAATTCTTATCTAAATAATGAAAAAAGTATTTTTGTACAGTAAATATTTTCAACAAAATCGCCTTTGTTAGTGATATTTATTACTAGTTGCATAGACTTTACATGATACAAAGAATATTTTAAATCCAAATTCATGCAATAAGGAGGTTATATGATCTTAGTGAAACACCTTAGTATCTCTCTCTTTTTCTATATATCTATATACATATTTACTATTACCTTTATATATATATATATATATATATATATATATATATATATATATATATATATATATATATATAATATAAAATAACAAATCCATTGATATATAATCCAAGTGGATCCTAATGATATAAAATATGAAAACTGATCCACAAAAAGAGCTCAATGTATTTATTAATACAGAGAAATATAATTAATAGAAATAGTTACGTTGTTCTGGAATTGTCATCAGTGGTCAACTGAACTTGTTTTGTTTTGAAAAAAAATGTTTTTGAAAGAATATTTTTTTTCAAAATCTAGCCAAATATTTTTCTAAATACCGTTTGTTGCTATTAATAGACAAATTTCCATAATATAGGTTTAAATTAATTACCTACTATATTTCCATAATATTCACTCCTCTCTAACTCTTCAAACGTCAAAAGTATAACTAATTCTAATTTTGGTATTTTTATATTTGCTCCACTTTATAACCTCTTTACACTATATTATCTATAATTTATAAACTTTCCTCGACTTTAATATCTCCCCCAACTCTCTTCCATTAATCCTTTACATCTTTTATCTATATGTTTTAAATTTATTACAAAACCCTTTTTATTCCTCTTTTAATTTTAAATTAATATTCTATTCTTCATATAACCCTAAATTAATATTATAAGCTTAATATTTGGGTTTAATTTTATGAAACTTCTTTCCTTTAAGACAAATGCCTTCCACCCTCCCCTAACTCTTAGCTTTCACAGTTAAATTCTATTTCCCACCATCCATCACTAACTGTATAGACATGAACTCAGTACACACTGTGACTGATAAGACAGACAACTGATATCATTGTCTGCCAAAATAGGCTATTATGAGGTAATTTGGGATTTTATTGTTTATTAATTATTATATATATATATATATATATATATATATATATATATATATATATATATATATATATATATTTATTTATTTAAAAATATGATTTCAATTTAAATGAATAATTATATTTATACTCTACTTTTGTATCGAGCACTAATTATTTTTTTAAAATAATAACTAAAATACTAAGGGACTTTGGATTATTTACCTAACCAGTTCCTTCCTATTTTTCTATATATTTTCACATATATATATATATATATATATATATATATATATATATATATACACGTGTGTGTGTATTTAGGCAGCATGTCTTCATTCAAGCATGTTTCATTGAGTAATATAGACATATGTTTATTTAATTTTATAATAAATCTTTCTAATTCTTGAATTTCAACTTAAAATTGAGAAGCTAATTAGAGAATTAGAAAAATTATTATAAAAAAAAGACATATATGTCTATATTATTCTATATATATATATATATATATATATATATATATATATATATATATATATAATATATGTAGATATATATGTGTTAATACACACATATATATCTACATATTTATACATATATATGGATAAAAATTCCAAGTGGATAGAATCCAGGTAGAACTCAATGTCCGGGACAGAGTTTAACCATGTAATATTAGTGTTTGTGCCTTTTATATTATATATATATATATATATATATATATATATAATAAAATATAATAAAAAGGCTTAAACACTAATATTCCATGGTTATAATTTATTACATTGGAATCACAATTACGATCCATTTTTTGAATTTGTAGGTCTGATGAATTGGATAGTAATTGCAATTCCAATGTAATAAATTATAACCATGGAATATTAATTTTAAGCCTTTTATTATATTTTTTTTATATATATATATATATATATATATATATATATATATATATATATAATATAAAAGGCACAAACACTAATATTACATGGTTATAATTTATTACATTGGAATTGTAATCACGATATATATAGTAACATACATGAAACTGTATTAATTTCGGGATTGCTTAAACCAAAGTTCTGTTCAAGCCATTTGCAGCCTATCCTCAAATCTGAGAGATTTTTGGATAATTAATGTATTCAATAATTTGGAGGATGGAATCTTATGAAGTGCAAGGGGAGATAATCCATCCACTTTGCAAAAATTTATATAACAGTTATTTAAATTTAAAACAGTATTTCTTTTCAGTGAATTTCAGGCCACTCTCTCTTTCTGCTTAGTTATTCTATACTGAATGCTTCTGCTGCACAGGTTGTCGGAGTTAACTCCTCCTTCAGTTCGTAACCCTTTCACCAGGGGTCTCTCTTTCCTGGCTATAAATAGCCGATGACCCTTCGCCTCAATCTCTTTTTTTCCTTTCAGGCCTGTGCACCAACACCTCAAGGTAAATTTCTCTTATTCCTAGAGGATTTCAACTATCAACCTCGAAATGTAGTCGCTAACAAGGAATAGCGTGGAAACACGCTAAGCAGAATATTCATACACGCACGCACATACAGAATATTCACACACACTTCGTCCTTTGTACTGTTTCCATGTATTGTAACTTGTTAACAATATATATTTGTATATACATATATTATCAGTCTTGTTTTGTTTGCTTTCTTTTCCTTCTTCTTTGGACTTAATCAAAGTCCAACCTTTTTATGTAGTTGGGCTCGGCGAGCAGGAGTATCTGAACCTTGCGTTTCTTCTACGTCTGACTTCTATCAACAACATAACAGCCACACCATGAACCCTCAACAAACCGTAACCGCCACGGCCCTCTACAAGGTGTACAACCTCTAGAGAAGGTAGATGCTTGGAAACCATAATGTTCACGTTTTTGACTCAAGTATAAATCCAATTAATATTTACTTTTTGACTCAAGTATAAACTTGATCAACATTTATATTTTGATTCAAATATAAATTCAACCAATATTTGCCTTTTAACTCAAGAATAAACCTGACCAATGTTTAAATTTTGACTCATGTATAAATTCACCAAATCCACACTGTAATTTTGGCCTTTCAGAAATAGTAATAGGAATAATACTAATAATAGCATATTTAAGTTTTTTCAGAGGATTTATTGTGGTAAAATAAATATCCATGGTATTTTTCAATAGGTGGTATTTGAATATATCATTTTGTTTCTCATGTTTTTGTAATTCACTTGAAAATCCTCCAAACATTTGTTCTGACTCATTATTTTCCTTATTGCTCACATTTTGTGTATCTTTATAATTTTCCTGTTCATTATGACAATACTTTAAAACGTTTGAAAACTTATTTCTACTTTATTTTCATTATTTCAATTTATTATTAGTTTTCGTTTTGTCTTCTTAATTTTTTCTGCCTTCTTTTAAGCCAATCCCTTCTTTGTTAAATTAAATTGCAGAATCAAAATTAAAAAAAAAAAAAAAAAGATGCTTTCTGACATTTTTTCAGCTAATTTAACCTCTTCTTTATGCCTTTCATCTTCTTAATGCAGTGTTCCAACCAATCCGTTGTTCTATAACCTTCCCTGGGAAGACAAAAATGAAATTATATTGTCCCCACCTCCAAAATGTTAAGTTGATGACTCTTTCCAAAGTTATTGAGGATAAAGATGCTCTGAACAAGATATCAACTCACATTCCAAACTTAAAGAGTTTGTTGCCATGAATGATAGAAAGATTGATTACGCTAGAGACATATTGTCATGATTAAGCAGGAATCTTACTTTAGAATTTCCTGACACCATATTTTTCTGATAACTTTATTATTGCTCTATTTTCTCTGTTATAGTTGTAACAGTAGAGGCGATGGTAGTAGTAGTAGTAGAAAAAGAAGTAGAAATTGTGGGAGGAAAAGTAGAAGTTATGATAATAGTAGTTGTATTAGTAACAAAGGTGGCTGTAATAGCAGTACAGTTTGTGGTGTTAGTAGAGTTATTAGTCATAATAGTAAGAGTATTAAAAGATTGTTGTAGTAATAGAGGTATTAGTAAAGGTTTTGGTAGTAGTAGTAGTGGATATTTTCATAGTGGGGGTGGTAGTAGCAGTAGAGGTACTGGAAATTGTATTAGTAGTAGTACTAGATCTTTTGGTGATAGTAATACAGTTTGTAATGGTTTTTGTTAGTGGAGTTATTAGTCAGTAATAGTAAGAGTATTAAAAGATTGTTTGTAGTAAGTTTTGGTTGGAGTAGTATGGTAGTAAAGGTTTTGGTAGTATTAGTGGGAATAGTAGTAGAGGTTGTGGTGGTAGCAATAGTTCTTACAGTGGATATTTTCATAGTGGGAATAGTAAGGGCTGTGGTGGTAGTTGCAGTGGGAATAGTAGGGCTGTGGTGGTGGAAATTGGTAGGTAGATTTTTGGTGGTAGCAGAGTTGCAATGAAAGATAATAAGGGCTGTGGTGGTAGTTGCAGTAGTAGTTGCAGTGGGAATAGTAAGGGCTGTGGTGGTGCAAGTTGCCGTGGGAATAGTATGGTTTGTGGTGGTAGTGGGAATAGTAAGGTTTGTGGTGGTAGCCATGCTGTTGTGATGGGAATATAAGGTTTATGGTGGTAGCAGAAATGGTTTTTGTGGTGGTGGAAGTTGCCATGGGAATATAGTGTTAATAAAGGTGGTGTTGGTAATAGTAAGGTTTGTGGTGGTAGCAAGTTGCCGTGGGAATAGTTGTGGTTGCAGTTGTAGTAGGAGTAATAGTAAGGGCTGTGGTGGTAGCAAGTTAGAATTTTAGTTGCAGTTGTAAGGGCTGTGGTGAGTTGCAGTGGGAATTTATTAGTTGATAGTAGTTGGTAGCCGAAGTTTTAAGGGTTGGTGGTAAATAGAAGGCTGTGGTTTGTGGTAGTCAGTTCATTAGATAGTTGTGATTGTGGTGGGAATAGTAGAGGTTATTGGTTGTAGCAAGTTGCGGTTGGAATAGAATAGTAAAGGGCTGTGGTGGTAGCAGTGGGAATAGTAAGTTGCAGTGGGAATAAGGGCTGTGGTGGTAGCAGAAGTTGCCGTGATGGGTTAAAGAGTTGTGGTGGTAGTTGCCGTGGGAATGGTAAGGGGGTGTGGTGGTGCGGTGGGAATAGTAAAGAGTTGGCTGTGGTGTGTTGGAAGTTGCAGTGGGAATAAGTGGGGCTTGCGGCGATTGGGAATAGTAAAGGGCTGTAATTGTAAGTTGGTAGGGCTGTGGTGGTAGCAGAAGTTGCGGTGGGAATAGTAAGGGCTGTGGTGGTAGCAGAAGTTGCAGTGGGGATAAATAAGGGCTGTGGTGGTAGCAAGGAATAGTCTGTAATTGGTAGCAAGTTGCGGTGGGAATAGTAAGGGCTGTTGCGTGAATAGTAGCAGTTGCCGTGAAAGACAAGTAAGACTGTGGTGGTTGCCGTGGGAATAGTGGGGAATAAGTTTAGTGGTGTTGGTGGTAGCAGAATAGTAAGGGCTGTGGTGGTAGCCGTGGGAATAGTAATAGCAAAGTTGCGGTGGGAATAGTAAAGGGCTGTGGTGGTAGCAAAGTTGCGGTTGGTAAGCTGTGGTGGTAGCAAGTGGGAATGCGGTGGGAATAGTAAGGGCTGTGGAAGTTGCCGTGGGAATAGTATGGTTTGTGGTGGTAGCAAGTTGCCGTGGGAATAAGTAGTTGCCGTTTGTGCTGTGGTGGTAGCAGAAGTTGCCGTGGGAATAGTAAGGGCTGTGGTGGTAAGTTTGGAATAGTATGGTTTGTGGTGGTAAATAGTGGGGCTGTGGTGGTAGCAAGTTGCGGTGGGAATAGTAAGGGCTGTGGTGGTAGCAGAAGTTAAGGGCTGTGGTGGTGCAGAAGTTGTGGTGGGAATAGTAGGGCTGTGGTGGTAGGGCTGGTGGGAATGTGGTGGTGGCAAGTTAAGGGCTGTGGTAGAATAGATAGTAAGGGCTGGTTGCCGTGGGAATGTGGTGGTAGTAGATAGTAAGGGCTGTGTGTATTAGTTGCAAATGGGAATAGTAAAGTTGCCGTGGGAATAGTAGGGCTGTGGTGGTAGCAAGGGTGGTGGTAGTTGCATTGGGAATAGTAAGGGCTGGTGGTAGCAAGTTGCGGTGGGAATAGTAAGGGCTGGTGGGTGTGGGAATAGTAGGGCTGTGGTGGTAGCAGTAAGGGCTGTGGTGGTAGCAGAAGTTGCCGTGGGAATAGTAAGGGCTGTGGTGGTAGCAGAAGTTGCCGTGGGAATAGTAAGGGCTGTGGTGGTAGCAGAAGTTGCCGTGGGAATAGTATGGTTTGTGGTGGTAGCAGAAGTTGCCGTGGGAATAGTAAGGGTGGTAGAAGTTGCCGTGGGAATAGTAGTGGTAGCAGAAGTTGCCGTGGGAATAGTACAAAATAGTAAGGGCTATGGTTATGGGAATAGTAAGGGCTGTGGTGGTAGCAAGTTGCCAAATGGGAATAGTAAGGGCTGTCAGGTTGTAATATTGGCAAGTTGCGGTGGGAATAATAAGGGCTGTGGTTCATAGTAATGGTGCACAGTTTTTATTGTGGTGGTAGCAGAAGTTTGCATTGGAAATAGTAAGGCTGTGGTGGTAGCAGCAAGTTGCCGTGGGAATAGTATGGTTGGGTAATAAGGGCTGTGGTGGTAGCAAGTTGCCGTGGGAATAGTAAGGGCTGTTGGTAGCAGAAGTTGCTGTGGAATAGTAAGGGCAAGTTCGGGATATGAAGATGTTGTAGTTGTGTTTGTAGTAGTAAAGGTTGTGCATTATAGTAGAGATTATAGTAATGGTAGTAGTAATAGTAGTTATAGTAGATAGCATCATGGTTGTAATAGTAGTTGTAGTAACAAAAATTATGGTAATATTTGTGGTTGTGGTAGAAGCCTACCTCATTTGCCTTGTAAATCTGGGGTTAATTATTTTCATTATTGCACATTTTTATTATTAGAATTTGACTTTCTTTATAAATTTTATTGCTTTTCATTCAAAGTTTTTTTACTAGATTTGACAAAAAATTGTTATAAAAAGAAGTAAAACAAGGAAAACTAATGAAAGAACAGAAATAAAAAAAATAAGTGCTTTTTTCTTGTTAAGACATAATCAATTTTTTTTATAATGTAGATGAAAAGGTGACAGCTATTTGGTGTGTCAGTGAATGTCTCAAAGTAAATGGCCAGATTTTTCCTTTTAAGCAATCATTTTAAGGAGGCGAGCTGAAATTTTGCATTTTCATCAGAGCAAAAAAAAAACATTAAAGGAAACATTTCTGACAGGTCTTCAATTTGGGCTTTTAGTCTTTGTTTTATGAATCTTTTAAAAATGAAAAAAAAAATTTGATATAATTTCTTGTTTTCACATCTCTACCATATATTTTATATTATTTTTATACCTCTTTTTATATCATCATCATGACCATCATCATCCTCATCAGTCATTTCCATGATGTCTGTGATTGCACTTATTCCCTGTCTTATAAGCAAACCTCTTCATCTTATCTCTCCTTTCATCCAGTGTAACAGCCCAGAATATACCACTAACCCAGACTGTATCCAGAGTTCTTCTTGCTTAGGCTGTTTTATAGTTGAAGTATAAGTTAGGATAAGGCTGTTTATACCCAGGGTATAAAATGAGCTGGAATTTACCCTCCCAAGCAGAGAATATGCTCATTTTCCCATATATATTATTGCATCCATAAAAGAATCAGGGATACTATGGATCATGCACTGTCACATATCCACAGGTCTTATGGCCATATCACATTGAAACAATGATTCTCATATGACCACCAAAGGTAAGCAACATTGAGCCTGGTTCTAGATGGGTGACTACTTGGGAATAACAGGTGCTGCAAGATTGGATGTGTGAGTGGTGTAATGAATAACTGCCTGATGTTGGAATTTGGAGAGCCAAGTTCCAATTCCACTCGGGCTTTGTTATCTTCTCTTCTTCACAAAAATCCCTTGGGAAAGATATGACTCCACCCCTTCTCCCCTACCTATGGGTTAATTAGTGGGACATTTATCAGTAAACCATTATCTCAAAAAATTCTTACAATCTAAAGATATTTTCTGGCTTTAAATAACATGCAAAAGGTAGATAAGCCATAAATAAAAAATAAATCAATCAATCACATATCCACAGAGATTTCTTGTGTGCATTTTACAGCCTACAATTTTCTTCTGATTCATTGGTTTAGATATAAGTAGGCCTATTTTCTGAGTTCTTATTGATTTGGGTCAAAATGATTGAAGAGTGGTCATTTTTGTAATTGACCACAGTTGTTTAGTGAGTGCAGTCTACACTTCACAATTTAATATTGATTCTCTGTAAATTTCTTGTGCACATTAGTTTCGGTAAGGCATTGGACAACTATTGATGATAATCAAACTGTAGTGGATAATGTTTTGACCTGAGTTATTAAATAGGCTAACCCCAGTCATACCTGTGGATTATTCTGGACTAGACTAAATAACCATAAATGACCATGAGCTTATCTCATCCTTGTCAGATATGGATAAGCTCTTTGGACTAAAGTTTCTCTCTAATACATTAGATTACTTTCATGGTTTCTGTTATCATCTCAACGCATGTGGACGATGGTATCCCTGCAATAGTCCTTAAGAAATGTGCTCCTGAACTGGCTTCTGTTCTCTCTAAATTTTAAGAACTCAGATAAGCCATGTGATCCTTCTATTGGCCTATTAAACTTCTACCTCTTTTTGACAAATTTGTAGAGGAGGCACTGTGGATTAATGGATAGCAGCTCGGATTAAGGAATCGGAGAGCTGTGTTTGAATTCCAGTCAAATCCATTACATTCACTTACGTGCTAATACCCTTAAGAAAGGTATGAATCCTCTTCTTCTCCCCCCAGCTATGGGTAAATAGCAGAACAGATCAGGTTCTATAGCCTTGGATGGCAACTGATCTACTGTAGAAAGAAATGGCAACCTACTGTGGCGAAAAAAAATCTGCCTCATCAGTCATGAAAGAAAGATACATGATTGCCAAAATGTGTATCACGCATGGCACGTAACTGAACTAACTCTAAAGGTTTTAATCAATGTGCGAGAAAACAACTTCTTGCGACACAACAATGAGCGCCTACTTGTGAACCTGAAACGTATGCCTTCTCTTCCGAATGAACATTTTACGACAGCAAATGAGCAAAACGGCACCCAAGACAGCTGCCAACGGACAACCGACCGCAACGGCTTTTGTTGCCCAAGAAAAGATGCCAAATGACTCGCGCGTCTTCTTCTTGTTGTCCTCGGTCGAGTCCATTATGGTACACCAAGGTGTGCCCGGCGACAACACACACATGCAGTTTGAGGACTCTTCCGCGCATGCTCATTACAATCAACTCTGAATTGGTTAAGCATCTCACTTCATAGAGTCTTCTTAAAAAATAGGCAATATGGCTTTTGCTTCCCTAAGTCAACTACTGATGTGATAATGGTTATTACTGAAAGAGTCTATCAAGCTTTTGATAAGAATGGTGAAGATTTTTGATGATACTTTGCATATTCCAAAGGCATATGACAGAATATGCCATACCATTCTTCTTCACAAATTGAAAAATCATGGTATTTTCTGGCAAATTTTTGAACTGATTCAATCTTTCTTACCAAATTGCAAAATGAAATTAGTCCTGAATGGCCACTACTCTAGATCCTTTTGTATTAATGCAGGCAACCCCCACATCTCTATCCTTGGACTCACATTATTTCTAATTTTCATCATGGACCTTCCTGATGGTATCAGTTTTCAACTCAGTATCTATGCTGAAGACACAATCATTTATTCCTGTCTTAATTCAATAAGGTTAAATTGCCAGCTGATCTAAAAAGTGATTTACTTTCTGTTGTTAACTGGGGCAAAGCATGGCTTGTTAATTTTAATGCCTCCAAACAAAACTGCTCTCTTTTAGTCATATGAGAGAACACTTTTTACCTGGCATTAGCATTAGCATGACTGATGCTAACCTCCAGGAAAGTGATTCATTGTGCCTTCTCTGACTAACGTTTCTCACTGACACAAAGTGGAAAGATTATATTGAAACAATTGCTAGACCTGCTGATAGGAAAGTGGGTTTCCTGTGTTGTGCTAAATAATTTTTCTCATCTTAATACGTCTTACATATTTACCAGTCATCCTTGCTTTGAATACTACTGCCACATCTTGTTTGGTGCTCCTGCTATATATTTAGAGATTCTTGATAAAATCCAAAGAAGAAGCTGCAATGTTATTGGTTCCAACCTGGCATCTTGGTGACAGTTCCTACTACCATAATGTAGCTTCCCTGTGCCTTTTCTATAAATATGGTAATTATTATGATGTATTTTTCTTTATGGTACCAAGACTTTATGAGTTTAAGTGCAGTACTTGATTGGCAGTAATATCTTATCATTTTACAACTGAAATGGCTACATGTAACTGTATTGTTCCATGCTAATTGTTTTCTTTTGCACTTCTCACTTATGGAAATCCCTTCCATCTTCTTGCTTTCCAGGCAACTTTAATCTTCAAAAACTTAAACACAATGTCAATCATTATCTACGGTTTTCTTGATTCCTGTTCTTTTATTGTTCCCTCTCCTTAATAATGTTTCCCTTTTTTATTATTCTTTCACATTCACTAAGCCTTCACATTATCAGCTGTCTTCTTAACTCTTTTAATGTTCTCACTCTCTTTAATAGCGTTTTTCATATTCTCCAAAATTCAGTAACCCCTTGCATCTTAGTGGCTTTATTGTCTTGCTTGATAAAAATAACAACAAGGGCTACCACTTAGCAAAATTCTCACCTATCGTGGCATACAAACTTCATCACATCACAGGAAGTTTCCACATTCATCAAATCTTTGACGCCACAAAGTCTACCAGGCTGATTAAAATCCTAATGTTTGTTCTTAAAAACTCAGTCTAAGCTTATTTCTAATTTTGGCAAAGCTGTTTTAGCCGCTACCTGAAGGAGAACTATTTTTTCTCATATATGAAAGATGTCAGATAACTGCCCTATTTTAAAAATGTGGGGGTGCACACGTCCCTGTCTCACTATCGGCCCATCAGCCTCTTTCGTGTCATCAGCAAACTGTTTGAGACAATCATTACTAAGAATATTGTTGACCACTTCAAAAGAAACAACAACCCTGAGACACAAGCAGTATGGATTTTTCTCTTCGAGGTCTTTTGCTGACGTCCTGTCATAGTGTGCAGAATCATTGAGGTACTCAATAATAAATTAATCACCAGAGTGATTGCCTCTGATGTTTCAAAGGTAGGCAAATCCAACCCTATGTATACAGGTTCTACAGACAATTTAAAAACTGGCCTTGTGCCACATATGTTTGGCAAGACGTGGCACAGGCAATGCTTGATTAACATATGTACTAATTAGGCTACAGCCTAAAGGTCCCAAGACTAGAAGTGTCTCAAATGGTCCTCTAGTCTTGAACACCTGATAAAACTAAAAAAATAGATATAAGAACTGAGGATAGTTGTTCATTTTCAGATTTAATCGGCTCCTTTGAACTAATTTGAAACAATTTAGAATTTAGGTTCATCTAGTTGGAACAGAATTTTTACATTCTTGAAGACACACCATTTAAATTTTGATATATTTTTTTTGTATATACACATAGATTTTAATGGTTGAAGTGTATCATATCTGACAGCAAAAAAGCATCATCTAAAAATATCTCTTTCTCTATAGACATTTGGAAGGAGGGCCAACATACTTAATGAAGGGGTTCTCAAATAATATCTGACTTGGGGTTTCTTAAAGGGGTTACTGCTCATACTCCCCGACTATGGAATCTCTGGAAAAGTCTTTACAGTCAGAAAATCTTTTCAAGTTGGTCAATGAAGGTTGTTGTCAAAAACTGATCTTCTGAAGGCAACATCATAAATGCAAGCATCCCACAAAGCAAACTAATTGTTAATTCCTACTTAACAATATACCTAAGAAAGATTTGTGCATGTATGTATCTATATATATATAAATATAAAAATGTCTGTGTGTGTATCTATCTATTTATATATATATATATATATATAAATAAATGTCTGTGTGTGTATCTATATATATACATATATATATATATGAAAATTTCTCTGATTTAACCAGTAGAGAAGACAATATTTATGAATAAAATGACAATAGGAAAACTGGTAATTGCTGATGCGTTTTCATCAATGTGGACTTTTTCGTATTTCAGTTTGATAAAGTCCACATTGGATGAATTTTTTCATTTTTATTCATATATATATATATATATATATATATATATATATATATATATATATAAAAATGTATCTATATATATATATATATATATATATATATATATATATATAAAAATGTATCTATCTATATATACATATATAAAAATGTCTGTGTATCTATATATATATATATATATATATATATATATAAAAAATGTCTGTGTATATATATATATATATATATATATTTTAAGCAGTACGCCCCGAGCAAGGCGTGAAGCCACTAGGATGCAGGGGTTGCAGAAGATTTGGAGCAAGAGCAGATAGGAGTGATAGAAGAAAGGATGAGGAGAAGGATAGTGGATAGATCAAGGTAACTGGAGATGTCGATTGACATTACATTTGAATAGTTGAAGATTATAGCTCTCAGGAAACAGTAATTGGGAAGGGGTGTTCCACAGGCGAGAGGTGCGAAGTATGAAGCTATTGGAGTAGAAGAGACAGGTACATTTAAAAGTTTTTACAGTGTAAGGGTGGGAGCGGGATGCCAGCCTCATAGCTTGAATTCATGGAGTCTGGGAACCAGTGAAAGCAGCTCAGCGGAGCAATTACCATGAAAGTATTTGTAGAAAAGACAGAGAGAGGCGACGCCGCATCTGTGAGAGAGTGACTGCAGACCAGACGCCAGATCAGGGCCAATTATATTACATATCCGTCTCTAGATCTTGTCAAGAACTCCGAGGTAAAAAGGTGCCCCAGACCATATATAGCAGCAATACTCCATGCAAGGGCGAATGGTTGTTTTGTATATTTGAAGTATTGATTCCGGGGAGAAAAATTTCCTGGCGCGGCACAGAGAGCCAACTTTCCTCGTGGTGGAAGAAGCAATTGACTCAATGTATTTGTTCCATCTCAGGTCAGCAGTCAACGTGAGACCGAGCAGACGCAGAGAGTTGCTCTCAGGAAGTTGGCTATCAGACATTTTAATGGGTGGCAGGGAAGGATCTCTATGGTGGTTAATGGAGAGTAGTTTAGTTTTTGTGGCGTTAAAGTTGACCAGCCAATTCTTGCCCCAGTTAAGAACCGATTGGAGGTCCATTTCAAGATGCACGTTCAGGTTAGTTTTGTCGCCGACACTAGATTTGTTTTTGAGGCAGGAGTAAATTGTAGTGTCCTCCGCGTAGATGCCAACTTGGGAATCTATGGCATCAGGAAGGTCGTTGATGAAAATAAGGAAAAGAGTGGGTCCAAGGATGGAGCCTTGGGGAAAACCTGCGTTCGTGGGATAGGAACTGGAGGAGAATCCGTTGAGAACGACCTTCAATTCTCGGTTTGACAGGAATAATTTTATTAGATCAAACAGTCGACCAGTAATACCATAACCCTGGAGCTTACGAAGAAGGCCAGCATGTCAAACCCTATCAAACGCTTTGGAGATGTCTAGCGCCACGGCAGGACCCTCACCGTTATTTTGAAGGGCTTGGTAGACGGTTTCAGTGATAGCCATAAGCACATCAGCTGTTGATCGGGCGTAGCGGAAACCATATTGCTTGTCTGACAGCAGATCATGGGATGTAAGGTGATTAACCACTTTGGCATTGATTAGGCTTTGAAGACTTTGCCGAAGAGGGGTAGAAGAATAATAGGACAGTAATTAGAGGGGTCAGAGGGGTCTCCAGAGTTCTTAAACACAGGAACAATGGATGGGGACTTCCAGCAGTCAGGAAAACAGGATTCCTTGAGGCAGTAATTATACAGTTTAGAGAGGGTGGGCGCTATCTCAGGCGCGCATTTCTTCAAGACAGTGGCTGGTATGCCATCTCCACCACTGGCCTTGTGGGGGTCTAAATTGGAGATAATGCCCAGTACCAATGACGGGGTTATGCATAAGCCGCTCAATAGGGCCTCAGTTCTTAGAGGGAAGTCTGGTATGGGTACACCGGTGGAGTCGAGCGTTGAATTAAATGAGAATTTCCGAGAAAAGCATCAGCCTTGTCGGTAGAGGAGGTCAAGACTTCGAAGTAATTGAATAAAGGAGGTATGGAGGGTTTTCTATTGT